CATTGGCCACGGTACCCACTGGACGGGAAGTTACGTTGAACCCAGGGTCGGTCTGGACGCTGCGGAGCTTAAATGAATCTGTGCTCTCTGCCGGGAATCGAAACCCAAGTCCCCGATAATCTAGTCGGCAGGCCAGCCACCACTCTGACTAGCTATTTCCATTCCTAACTGACGAAAATCGATTGAAGTACATAATGCGAGGAGTTTGCACAGAATATAGAAAGATAAGAAATAGCTACGTAAACACAGCAGTAGGTACAGGGTCGTCTAAACGTACCTTCAGGTGGATCATGCCCCGAGCCAGCTGCAATAATCTCCACGTTCCGGCCGTGTTCATCTCGGTGGCATCCTTTAGTTTCGCTTCCAACCGCAAGGTGGCCGCGCAGTGGAACACTACGGACACCTCATCTTGGAGCCTGGTTTTAGCTTCGGGAGTCAAACCCAGCTCCTCTAGCGTGACGTCGCCGTGGACAGGCACCAGCTTGTTCAGTGCGTCGGGCTTCTCATTTCGCAGGCGGTGGAACAACTGCAGCAGAAGTACAGGAGTTCATTGCGTGAACAGGAGGGCAAGTCCGACATATTGACTGGGACATTAGGGTCCGGGGCTAGAACCCCAGTTATTTCCTGAATCTTTCTGTCCTCCTGTGATAGGCATTGCACTGAAAGTCATACTGGACGTTGTAATAAGGGTACAGATAACCCCTATAATAGAGGACACTAAGGGACGAATTGGGCCGCGCCATAGCTCAAGCGGTTAGTCGCTGGCTTCCCACCGCGGCGGCCCGGGTTCGATCCCGGGTCTGTCAAGTGGGATTCGTGGTGGACAAAGTGGAGCTGGGGCAGGTTTTCTCCGAGTACTTCGGTTTCCCCTGCCAATGTTCATTCCACCAATTGCTCCACAATCACCCTCACCTATCATCTGGGGCTGGTACAATAGGCCAGAAGTGGCCGCAGTACAAGGGACTCAGTCCCACCTCACTAGCAATAAAGAAAGGGGGGAGAATTGGGCTGTAGCACCAAGAAGAGAATCCTGAACTGATTGTAGGGGGCCTTGCGATGGTCTGATACCCTATCCAGCGAGTTCTTCCTGTGGTCTTAATAAGGATTAATAAGCTGCAGTGGAGGAGACCAAGGCAGCAACTGCACTTTGCAGACACGCAGGGTACCGGGCGGTACGTCGCGACATCATGCCCCCAGTGGTACACTTTCTCTTCGATCTGCTTCAACAAGCCTTCCACATATTTTTATTTTGCTTGGGAGGGAGACTGTAGGTTTAACGTAATACATATTTTTCTTCTGTTTAATAACCAGCCAGAGGCCTTTAAGGATGGGAAACAGTTCTGGATTGTAACCTTCTGGGTCATGACACCGTATAATCTAGTAGGCAGTTACTGATTTTTGTAAGTAACATATTATAACAACTTCCTTGGGAAGACACCGTGAAACCTGGTAGTTTGTCTTCAAAGTTTTCGGTGGAACCCGCTGCCTATATTTTCAGGGTAACATTCACTTAACTTAGCTGGCAACCTACAAGACTACATTGTACCATGGGACAGAAGGCAACAATCCAAATCTTCAAAGCCCTCAAACCTCATGAATAATAATGCATTCAAATTTACCGACGGGTTCTGCGTAAACTTAATTTCATTCAAATCGTCCACCTTAATTCTTTGCTGTGTAGGTCAGCTCTCACTTCCTTCCTACATATATAGTACTGAGCTCTTGTGGCAGAAATGGGCACTAAATTTACAACTTAAAACTAAGTAGCATACAAAGCGGCCTCCGTAGTCTAGAGGTAACGTTCCCACCTCATGACTCGTGGTACGCGGGTTCAAACCCGGCGGAGGTCGTCGAATTTTTAAGGGCGGAAAAATTCAGGGAACAAGTCCTCCGGGAGGGACTTGTTCCCAACAGTAGTCTCTAACGCCTCTGATAGATGGGGGAAGCATTATAAATACCACCAAGCCAGTGAGGCCGAATTCGCTGGCTCGGTCGGGACTGATGATCGCACCAATATCGGTAGGGTATAGAGACTGGTAGAATATCATAGAGGGAAGCACAATGGACCAATACTAATCTAAGTGCATGGGGAAACCCACCCTCTCCAATAACTAACTAACTAACTAACTAAGTAGCATACAAGAATATTGTTGACAAAATTAATTAGTGATAAATGTATGCATTATAATCGCTTTGTGTTTCATTATGCATTTTCGTACAAAAAGCGTGAAGAATTTAAACTTTTATGAATCGAAGGAAATTGCATAAACATCACTTTCTGCTATATTTGCCTTATTCTAGAATGCTGTGGTCGAAATGTTACGAAATGTCTGCACCAATGGATGCATACTATTTCATTTCACACACCGATACTTAAATGTACGCAACATTAAAAAATATTTTAATAAAAATTATAGAGCTTAAAAATCTAAATTTTATTCCGTCTACGAAGTGCCTATAATGTGAACTGTTTGAGAAAATTTATAAAATTCGATTTGAGCCATATATATTCCTAAAATAGAGGTTTAATTGAATTCATATGAATCAGAATTATGTTCGTCGGATAATGATTCGGCGTAGAGTGTAAAATAAAATTTCGTCTACATCGATTGTGTTAAAAAATTCGGAGAGATCCCAAGGTATTTAAACTTCGCTACAACACAGAAAAGAATATCCATGTTTTCTTGTTTGTTCCCTTTATGTTACGATTGTTCTTACAGAATTTGAAGTTTTCACAGAGTTTGTTACGAAGAGTTCTAGCTTCTAGGATATAACGCCATGTAGTCCGTTGAAAGTCAACCGACGTTTCGGAGGAGAATGCAGAGACCTGGTTGTTACATGCTTTATGCTGTTTCTTGCTTAACTCATTCTTGTACTCTGAAGATGAAGGCGACATATTTGTTCGTTCGTTATATCCAACTCTTTGAGGCTGTTCCTGTCGTTTTTGTGAAAGATATGAGATTTTGTTCGCAATGGAATGAGCCCAATGCTCGTATCTGTGACAACTCAGGCATACTGTTAACCTCACGAACTTTGCAGAAAAACTACCTGGCAGAAACCATAAAATAAATTTGTGCAACACACCCCATTCTCAAATATTTGTCTCTCAAATTTACTGACCGGATTTCACGGCCTTGCTTAGTTCTATGAATAAGTTTGAACTGGGGAATTCTTAAGTGTAACTTGAGAGTTGCCAAACAGGCGAAACCGGTAAGTTATCGGCACGTGTTCAACAGGAAGTTGCGATAAAACTGCTCATTATCTCTGCAATGTCTGTCCACCTATCTGTCTGCAGACATGTGACAACTGGACAGCCGTAAGAAATATTTTCGTTAAATATGATATTAAGAGTTTTCTCATAAAATGTATCCACACGTTCCAATTTCGGTTAAAATCGTACAACAATAACGGACACTCGGAATTACTGACTGTTTGAACTTTGTCCGTCGTCCGGTATTCTAAAGAATAGAACGTTTCGGAAACTAGATCTGTTTCCGTCCTCAGGTGAATGGGTTGGAGACATCTACATTGTTGCGTCCGAACTGTGGACTCAGTAATCCGAAGCGTTACACACATACATAGTCAGATACATCGTTAGAACCGATTAGACTAGACAATGACGGAAGATTTGCATGAAGACCTACGTGAATATCTGCTGGCACCTTGAGCTAAACCACTAAATGCTCGTATTGAAGGGAGAGAAAAATGTACCCCCCCCCAAAATACCTGTACAGAGAGCAATGAGGCATATATTTTTGCGAAGTGCATTTATTCCGCAAATCTTGTGGTTTTCGAGGTAACTATAGACAATGTAAATACTGTGTTATGCGCATAATGTCATAAGTTGTCAAAATTATTCATTGATAATATTTCGGCTGCATCTATTCTGCAGCGTATAACGGCAAGATGACTGCTATGTCATGACTTCAAACCGATATTGGTCTATGTTCAGATAATATAACCGAAAATTGCTTTGGCGGAATTGGAAAGGCCAACATGGCTGACTCCAGGCATGCTTACCGGAAGCTTCAGCATTTCCTCCGTGCGCACTTCCGGTGCCTTGTTGCGTTTCTTGCGCATGAGGATGTAGATGGCGCGCAGATCGGAGCAGCTGTACAGGAGCTTCTCTACCAGTACCTTGCCCATGAAGCCCGAGGCTCCCGTCACCAGGACAGCCCGGCCCCGGAAGAATTCCGCCACCTCGCTCATCTTACACAGGAACCTGCGGGCATCAACGCGACACACAGTCCGTGTTATTCACGAGGTACCTCATTCATCCGCGGGTCAGGGCCACATTGTGCAGGCCCCGGTGCACTAGAAACATGGAAGCCCCTAACAGTAACAACAAAACACTTATTTCTTTTGTCCTCATTTCTTACAGTAACTAAAAATACAAACTAACTTTTCACAATTTTAGAAAAGTAATGTCTGTTGTGTCCTATTCCTGTTTTGTGGACCTCATGGGGCGACAGCCCCGGTCGCTCACTCTTATATCCAGCCCTGTGAAGGGCTATCAAATTTCGTGATACTGGTGCCCTGTAAAATAAATACTCAAATTCAGGGGACCCCCTCTCTGCCGGTTTGTGAGTACGGTTCTGCACACTGTCGCAAATCTCTTTCGGGCTGCAGGGCGAAAGCAGGAACCTGAACAGTCTCACAGCCTCTCTGTACCTGAAGCAAGCTGTAACACTTTCCTGTACATTCGTGAATGTTTCTCCCGCTGCAGCTAGACTTTCCGACTTTCCCAAATCGTGTCTGGATTATATTCTGGTAATTCTGGAGAATTCGGCAACCCCGTTACAGTAAATCAATTCAAGAAGCCATGCATTAACCCTTGTAACGCTAATATAAAATGTGTTGGCCACAATGGCACAAAATTCCAGCATCGATTAGACCAATTCTCCTTATACCCGTGCCTGTCGTTAAGTCTAACTCCTGCAAAACGAAAAATTAATAAAATTATGACCAAGTAAAACCTAAAAACCAATATAAATGCGGTGGCAATATTAAGACACAGGTTAAACCTTGTGACGTACTTTAATTCTTGGGCTGAAAATCTCAATTTGCTGCGAAATTAGCTCTGTGTTTCACTTCTCTGTTTTCATTATGGAAGCCTGTGTCACGATATAAGGCAGGCGCGTGTCACAAGGTCGGGCGCTTTATCCTATTGAGCGTCGAGACTTCTAATGGATTCAGATGCACAATCAAGTTCAATCTGTTGCTTCACGTCACATGTTCCAACTTCACATGCGAATTCCATTTTTTTGCAAGGTCCTCTTCGAATTCTGCGTCCCTTCACTTGATGATGTGAAGTCTGCAACTCCTGGGTTTCATAACATAATTTAAGTCCATGTGCACACACACGCAGACTCGATGCGGTTATTTGCCAAACTTCGTACGGAAAGCAATTTCGTCATTGTTTATTCCTGCTGTCTTGCAGCGCTAGGGGATTCCCCTCGCACACAGACGTACCCGCAAAGAGTCAAGGCCGAAGTGCTGAACCTGATGTAGGTTTGAAGAACCCCTCCACAGCGCTGGTTTCTGTCTACCAAATTACACGGCGTCACTTTCCAGGAGACAGCACTTTTAATATTGGAGGTTTCTTCTCACTTAATTTGGAAACTTTCTAGAATTGCTTAGCGTACAAGATTTCAGTCGGGAGAGGACAACACAAAAGTGTAAGGATAATATTAAAATGAATCTCAGCGAAACGTACAGTGAAGTTGCATGAAAATAAAGTGCCAAGAAGAATGTCTGAACCAAAGAAAGAGGAACTAAGAAAAGAATTGTGAAAATTACAAAATGTTGTGTTTCAGAAGTTGTAATCTTCATCTAATATTGTCGCGGGCATAAATTAATATTGTGGCATGTAGACCTGTTGCTAGGCAACGACCGCGAAAGAAACAATTAGACAACGACCGTCATTAAGCAATGGAACGTAAACAGCAATAGGAGAAATGTGTTTTATGTGCGGTCCGTGCCAAGATGTTATAAGCAGGACGGTTAGTGAGGAGTGAGTTTAGTCAGTGGAATGGAGTTGGTTGGTGAGTGAGTTAGCCAGTCAGAGGACTGCTGCTGTTCAGTCGTTGTGAGCTGTTGCTGTTAGAAGCAGGTAGCTGAGGCCGGGAATAGTTCGGGAACCCAGAGGAAAAGGAACGTCCGCCGTTGAAGCCGCTACCGAGCAACGGCTAGTGAAGGCATTACTGTGGACACTGCTGTGTGTGTGATATTGAACTGTAAATTGTAGTCAGGCGCTGTATCAAAGAGTCCAATAAATCCGATCACCAATCCGAACCCCGTCTACAGTCACACTGCAATCACGCGACAATACAATACGCGTGGGAGAGATGAAGAAAATTTTACAAAAGTCTGACCGAAAATTATCAAGGAAGGAAAAGGCTTTGGAAACCTAGATGAAGATGGGGAGATAATATTGACATAGGCACTATAAAATAGGGCACGAAGGGGCAGATTGGATTGCACTGCCACTACTTTTTATCCAACCCTTGTAATATTAAGTTTTACATTCTTGAAGAACACAATTCGCAAAGAACGGGCACGCCCTAGTGATAGTCATTTTACTTAGCATCAAAGAGAAGAAATGCAAAGGGATTATGCAAGAAGAATAAACATGTGTTTGATTTATTGCACGGTCTATTTCAGTCACTTTTATTCAAGGAAAACGGGGGAATTTAGTGGAATGGGGGCGCTATATCTTCGATGAATTTATATAAAAATTTTAATTAATTTTTTTTTA